GGATGGTTTGTACAACATGCTTACATGTACGTCATGGAGATGCTTATTAGGAAAACATGAAAAGCATAAAGGAAATATACTAGCAAAACCTGACTGACCTCATTTCACAAGGTCATCTTCTGAACAGGTCAAGACCCAAGGCTATGATCCAATGGTCACCTTTGAAAAAGTAACCTCCCTTGGATCCATCCACATGCAATAAATTGTTCCAGTCCTGTGGTGGAAAAGTGGTCCAGTCAATAAGATTAGGGACAATTTTTAGGAAATTCATGGATACTATTGGCTTTATGTTCTGCTCCACCTAATCCTCTTGGAAGATATCTAAAATTTCATTAAAATCAAATTTTACATCAAAAGCCTACATATAAAAATTTTTTTCCAAAATAGAATTTTATTGTGCACTGGGATAGCTTAATCTCTGAAGTACATTGTGCACATACATGTACATGTACTTTTTGTCCGAAATGCCCCCAAATTCTTGTCCACATGTAAAGGCATAGTGTCATGTACAATTCCAGGGAAATCTTTAATCTAATTTATGTTTATGGTGGCCTTTAAGGGATAACCGGTCATGAACATATTTTGCGATTTCATGCATCATTGTGAATTTATTCATGGCCAGTCATGAATACTGTTACTTTGGTGTAATCATGGGGAGTCGAGAATTTTGTCAGTGTACACATGTTTATGGGGCACATTTAATGTCATTTTGCCTGTAAAAGTCATCCAATTAAAATAACATGGTAGTAATGTAAGTTAGTTGGTATAAATAATATCTGTGCTCTGTGTTTTATGTATGTGTAATGTACAAAGCAAAGGTTTTTCAACATGTATTGTTAGAGGATGTAATGATACATACAGTATGTATTGTGCTGCTCGTGTAAAGAGCAAATACATGTATAAAAGCATACATGTACATACATGATTACTGTACAAAAATGTAAACAAGGTCTTCCAGCTCAAAGTGCAACTGATTGTAAAAGTCTTGATGATGCGATTTGTTTGATATGATATTAAAATATAGACCTGTTGAAAGGATTGGCAATGCAATACAGTTTTTATTTACAAATACAACACTTCAAAATACATACATGTATGTATGGTGATTGGTACATGTATCTCAAACTCTCAGCCTTATTTTCCATTTTTAGTTTGCTGCATTTGTTATTTGAAGGGTATATTAGTGCATTTTTGTTTTATGCCAATGAGAATTCCAAATTCATGAGAAAAACTGATATTATCCCTGGAGGAAACCTCAATGTTACATTGATTTGTGCACAAAACAATTCTGAAATTGCCCTCTATACAACATTTAAGCTGCCTCATCACTGGACTCTCTGCAGTCTCCTGATGACGGACAGAGCATACTGTCTAAAAAATTGGGTACCATCAGTTCTTTTCAGAACCCTTCATGTACTTACCCAAAAAAGAGATACATCTATGGTCCTACCACAAACCTACATATATATAGTTTAATTCTGAAATTATTATTATTATTTGATGGCCTAGATGAAACTTATTTGGTGATTTACTGGCAAATATGTTTACTTTGCAATAAAGTAATGAGCAACCCTTCATCACAAATGTTTTCAATGAGAAAATTTTGTTTTGCAATTTAAAAAGAGAAGGCTATAAACTGAGCAGCAGCCTTACTGATTGACATCATAGCAACAGCATTCAAAATACCCAGTGCCTCTCACTACTAGCACCTCACTATTAGCACCTAGGTCCCAACAAAAAAGCCCCAGGACCCTCTTTTTCAAATATGTTTCCAGTGCTAAAACTAGCCCCTTGGCCATCCTCACATGGGACACTTTGAGAAGGGCTAAATTGGGAAATAGAATAGTGAATTTTCCCTATGCTGAAAACCCCTGCTGTCAGATTTAGTTTTTACATAGTTTCTCACCCCCAATGTTAGAAACGCAAGAAACTTAGTGAGGATCCTTTCACTTCTGAAATCACATGCGGCACCCTCATGGTACGTTGGTACTTCCCACTGTACAGGTAGATTTCCTTTTTTAAATGATAATACTCTGATCAGGACCAGTCTGTTGCCAAGTACTGGATGAATCGTAGAGCAAACGAATGGATCCCTGCAATGACAAGGCACAAGTCCGGTGGAAGTAAAAGCTGTCACTACGCTTATGCAAGCATCATTGCAAATGATCCAAAATATTGAATTCTTGAATGACTTTCTGTGGGTTAATGCACAAAGCCTTTTCTTCTTTTCTGCATGTGTATTTCCTGTTTCCAAGATTAATTTTGAGGTGCCGTGCTTGTATTTGTAGCCACTCATTGTAGCGTGATTTACAGTATAAGCATAGTCAGTTACACACACTTATGGCATTTTGCCATCAGAGCCACTGGCAGTTCACACTCATATGTAAAGCTGTCTCTGTAAGTGATTCCCATAGGTCGTAAATTTCCTTCATGTTGGTTAGGCTTGTAATGTCAACCTTAAGTGTTTTCAATTATATTTTGACTCAAAACTGTGGGAGATATTTTTTCATAAATTTGAAGCTCATCAATATGGACATAAATGGCCCTTGTAAGTTGTGCACACCCAAAAATTAGTGAAGGGTATTAAGAAATTGAGACTTTTTAAAAGAAAATTCCTGATATTCCTGATTTGAAAAGAAAATTCCTGATATTTTGCCCGAATCTTGGATATTTTCTCCAACACTTACATTTGATACAAAAATAATACATGCACATGTTCCAACTAGAGCTGTTTGTCGATGTTAGTTCCAGTTTGGATAGATGTTTTCACTCTGCCTATATTTACATGTATGATGTTAATGGATGAAAAACCTGCATACTGAAACCGCAATTTTTTTTTACTTGCTTTAACTACCATGGTCTTTTTCCAAATTTCCATTAGTAGCCCTAGCCAATGGGCCATGGCCATTTCTATTTCTGTCCCTGGAACAGTGCCCTCAATCATCCATAAATGCATGTATAATTTTAAATGTTTAGAAAAGTGCACTTTTCAATACACTGAAACCCAATAAGACATATCAAATTGTTCCTCACAAAGATGAGAAATGGGTCTGTGAAGTCTACAGAAATTCATCACTGGAACATTTAATGTTTAAAAGGGTTCTGATCTTGGCCTTGCTCCAGCATGCAGATCACAGTCCAAGTTCATTGTACCTGGGCATCAGTATACCGGGAGGAACTGTCATACTTTCATCTTTGTCACAACTGCTTTTTTTGGGGGGGGGGAGGAAGGGATTTTCACAATGTAAAAATCAGTTCTCTATTTCTCAAATTTGTCAGAGATGACAAATGGGTACTTGAAAGAGAGAGAGCAGTCCTTTTTTGAGACCTTAAAATTTTTGGATAAATATACCAGTGTGATTATTACTGGTGGGTGAGGTGGAGCAAATGTGGCACAAGCCCAATGTACTTTCTTTTTATTGTTATTTGTTCATTACATGCATATTTACTCTTTCCCCTGTTTCTCCCACTGTTAGCTGGATACTTTAAAGGGCCATGTGCACTAAATTTATCCGTTATACAGTCCTCTGTAAAAGCACCTTTGTATTCTGTTCGCTTTATTTTCAATTTTCGTTTTGGAATTTTTAAGGGCATTTCGGGTCCTTTCTAATGCACATTGCATTTATGATGCAAATTTTCACATGTACATTTATGACCAAGTGTGATGTAATTTCAGGCAGAAACATCATTTTTCCAGCCTCCAGCTATGCCAGAAATATCTACATGTATCAGAATTTTAGATACTTTTGTTTCTGGGGATAAATTCCTCTAGGCAGAGGCGCTATGTGTCCCCTGGGTGTTCAAAATCCATATTCATATCCTACATCACAGCAGTCAACAGTTGTTAAATAACACCCTCATATGTCAGCAACAGCATGGAAAATTTTCAAAAAATAAACTTGCTCAAAAGATTAAAGAAAAGGGATGTCAATTGATAAGATTCATGTCATGGTTCCTTTACAGACTTGGATATCTATGTAGATATCAGATACAATTTTTTATGACAAGGACATGTACATGTGCAGTAATTTTGACCATGGAGGAAGGACACAGAAGGAGTTTGAACTGTCTGGGCTATAACATCTGGCCAGTTAATGCTTTCTGGCGAATGTTTGCTATGCACCACCTGTTTCACATCTACAAGTATAAACCCCCTTTGTACCCCATGATCATTGCCGCAATTTTTCACTGGTAATCGGCATTGGTAAAACATTGTGTGCATGTACTACAAAGAGGAGGTTGAATATTCATGCCATCGTTGGTGCTTGGTATGATCTGACAACAACACCAAATTTAATGTTTGGCAGTTCCTTTTATTAGGCTCTGTGCTCGAGGTGTTCATGTGCAGTTATTACCTTATCCAACGCTTTCTTCTGAATGCATATTGGGAATAAATAGCCAAGTTGTTTCTAAGATTTTGTATTTTATTTGAATCCTTTTTATTACACATTTTACACCAAAAGGTATTTTATGAGATCTCATGATGTTTTTCGTGAACTTAACTGTCCTGTGGTGGTCCTGTGGTGTTGTTGGCCAGTCTTAGCCAAATTCAAACAGATACTGATGTTTTGGAGTGACAACATAACATTACAAACATTGCATGGATAATGGAAAAGTACATCAAAATCTTTTAAAAAATTATTCACGATGGCAAAAGTAGATCAAATATTGGATATTTTTTCTTTCTATTTTTTGGTCTGTATGATAAGTTGTAGTTAATTGCAAAGGAAACACCACAAATGTTGCTCCAATATTACTGGCCTTACTTGTCTGGCTAAGCTGCAGGCAGTAATCGGGCATTTCTGGAATGCTTACTATTGTTCGGGTGACGAGCGGAGATGATCATCAAGCACTTTGATTTGCCAGAGTTGTAACTCCTTCTGTCTCCTTCCTCCATGTTTTGATGAGTTGTGGTTTCTAACATTTTTGTGATACAAACAGTTTGATAACTGACTAAACTGATTTTGTTACCATTTGTTCCTTTTTTGTGTCATTAACAGAACTATATACATGTAGGTAGCAGACCATAGCAACAGAAAACAGTAATTCCTCCAGAACCACATCATTCTAAGCAGGACAACCAGGCAATTAGAAGACAAGTGCAGGTCATCAACCTGAAGGTCAAATGTCACATGTCACCATGGAGATGAGTCACAGAGGCAGTCATCTGCACAATGGTCTGTCAAGTTACTCTCATCACCATGGGGGAGTGATGGGTCACATGGGCCTGGGGTCAGCAGGTGAAAGGGTCAGCAGCAGTCACCAGCATGTGGCATGTTCACCTGCAGGTGAGCATGTGGCCATTATAAAAGGCTGCAGACTGTCATGTAAGAATTATTCGATCGTGTGTTTTGGTTTGCTTTGCTTAGCTACATCTGTGTAATGTGCACTTAAATGTACATGAAAATGTAAGTACAAAGATTTCATTTTGCTTTTCTTTGTAGGAAGCAGTAATAATTTTTTTTATTTTATGGACACTGGCTTTGTCATTAATACGTGGGGTGTGTCATTAAGTACACATACCTGTACATAAATACATAGATATAGGCGATGTTGTCATTTCATCTTGAAATGAAAGTTTGACAAAAGAATTGGATTAAATATACTGAGCTTTTTAATCAGCTTTTTGCCAAAGGAAGCGTGGCCAAATAGTTGGATTTCTAAATGGCTACTAAGTGAGACCTGATTTATACATGTATATCAAGCACCGTGATTTTGCTCTTTTTAATCTTTTATCAAAACTTCCTGAATACTTGCTTAATATTTTCATGAAAGGGCTTCAAACTTGTGGATTAACCCTAAAAGAGCCGGGTTATTTGGGTCCATCTCACAGCAGGGGAAGGGGATTCTCCCCTCCCCCCAGAATTCGGCTGCAGCTCTCTTGATTTTTGGGAAACTTGGCATGCATGTAAAGACACTCCTTATCATGACAACTGTGATGTTTGAACTCAATCAAATGTACCAGTATAGTTTTGTTGATGGAGCCATTTGAAGTTCAAGGCTGCATGTGTGCCAGCCCACATGCATTGAGCACCGCAATGGAAAAAGTATACAATTGACCTGTCTTGGAAAAATGCGCGCTGCACAAGAATGGTACGTCCGGTTTTCACAAAATTGGTGTCAAAATGACTGCAAAGAAAATCCTAAAAACATGCACTATGGCGATATTGGGAAATATGTTAGGGGGCGAATTCCAAGTCACTCCCCCATGGGTACCATAATTTTCAGAATGTAGGCCGCAGCTTATAAAAAATTTTCTTGTGTCATAAGACTTGAAATTAAGTCATTAGTGGGCCATATTTGTCATCCACAACAACCGATGGGAGCCAGCATGTTGAATGCTGAACCTGTTTCTTCACTGTTGCCTGCAATCTAATGAGCTTTGCAGATCTGGCCTAGATATATGTACAATGCATGGTCGTGGGCTGTTCAGTGCCTTGTTTCGAGGCATGTCGGCCCAGGACCCTACTGCACCTGCCTAACAACTTGATCAACCTGATTCTGTTAGGATATTCATGTATGCAACAACTGTACTGCATATTCATATGTTTCCATGGAGAGCGCCAATAGTAGCTTACGTTACATGACAGACTCATCTATTTTATATATTTGGATGTCTATATTTGATTAGTACCAGTTTCTTTCATGTCTTACATTATATCCCTTTTAATGTGATGTAAGACAAAGTACCAGTATACATAACTATTCAAGAAAAATTTATTAACTGTCTGCTTTGGTAAAAGAACCGATGCTTTTATGGTGAATCCTTTTTTAGAATAATGTACACACCTTCTTCAATTAACGAGATTGTTGTTGTTGCTACTAAATGTTCAACTGACCTTTTTATACACCAATCAAATTGCCTCTATAAATAAATATTCATATAATCAGGATTCTTAGCCAATCAGAGTGCTCCGTCCAATTTTGGTAGCAAGCCCTGTATGTTGTGCACAAATGGACTTGCAGATTGTTTAATTAGATAATTGGTCGCTGCTGGACATGCATATTGGGGAGCGAGGTTGCACTGACCATTCCCGTATGTTATTAAGCTGCATGCCGAACTGAACCGTGTATGCTCCATGTACATTGCAAGGAAGGTGGACTAAACCTGGCCAATTACCGACTTGATTTGAAGTCCACTGTGGCTCATACTCCCGGAGGCTTATAGAGCAACATTTGAAGAATGAAATCAGTCACAGAAGCCCAGGTATGTTTCCCTCTTCAACTTAGTTTTGCTTATCGTTCAAGGTCACACACTTGAACGCCAATGAGCTTGTTGTGATAAAAATAGATGTCTAATGGATTATTTTTTTAGTCAATGATCTTATGTAATTGTCATAACCCCCCAAATGGTCATTCCCAATTTTTGTTGTATGGCTGAAGGCAAGTCTAGCCCTCATGATGACTTTGCCCCAATTTCATTTTAATACCCCCCCCTGGTTTAACTTGTGTCAGGCATGACTCTTAATTTCTAATTCCCAAAAGAAAATTTAAGAGTATGTGGAAGGGATTTACCTGAGCTTGAGTGGTAGGTTAGCTTTAGTCGTAACGTGGCATTCCTTTCCTGATTTTGGCGAGAACAAGTACTCTTCGCCTTCATGTACAATGTATGGAGGGAATTACCACTTCATCATATTAACTGACCAGCAGCACAACCTATCATCTCCCATGTAGGTAGGCTCCACTATTACCAATCATGTAATTAGTCAACAGAATTGGGAAATATTTCTCAACAACAGAAATAATTTCTCAATGTTCGTTCCCCGGGACTGATCAATTCAACTAAACAACAAACTTATCAATCCTGTAACAAAAAATAAATTCAACTCCTATTATTAGGGCAAGAAACTGGTGTACGGCTGGCAGTAGCCCAGTATAGCAGAACAAGGTCAAATTACTTTCTGGTGTGCATAATTACTAAAAATACTACAATGTATATAAAAAAATCAAACTTGAACCCTAGCTGGCCTGGTCTGGACCAGTGCCTCAACCAACTGTTCAATCATTCCCCATGGAATACGATTTATGGTTGGAATGTGCAAAGAGAACTGGTACTGCTAGACTTTGTGTATGTGGGTCAAGTTGCTAAAATGGCAATGCTGTACTAATTGAATAATAAATACACACTACTTGTATGTTTAACAGTGTCTTGGCTAATCGTATAACTATGTATGTTTAAAGTATATGAAGTTGCTGTAGCTTAATGGTTAAAACAGTATTTCACAGGCCAACTCAAAAGTGAATGGTTTACCATAACCCTAATAACTTGATTGGTGTAAATAATTATAGGCATATATACTATCAATTTGTAGTTAACGTAATAAGGAAAGGAATCACTAATTTAACGGAATAAAAGAACACATCAACACTACATTATTTTACAAGCAAAGAAGCTATATAGAATAAGTTATAATATGTCCAGTGACCATATAACGCAAAATCATTATCTGTCTGCAACTTGAAATTAAGGACTATGTAAGGTTGGACATGTGTCTGCATTACTTTATTTTCAAATTTAGACGGAAACCCTTAACAGCTAAACTACACTTCATTATATATGAATCAAGTTGTTCAATACTTGTTGTCATCTCATAAACTTTGTTAACCTCCATCATGGAAGTCAAACGAGTGTGGATGTATTTGATAAAAGGACACTAATAATCTTACTTAGCACGCTAAAATTCTATCATGACTTCATACAATAAAGTCACTGATCAATGGAAGAATGAAGTAAATGACAGGAATAATAGAACACAATTCACACAGTGAAACCTTATAACTGACCATCATCATGGCAATTATGTAAAAAGAGAACACATTTCTAAATTTCCAACGAATGACATATTATAAAAACCATGAGAAATTCTAAACTAGTATACTAAGCTTAATTGACTATAGTAGGATTGGTTTATGATTACAATTGTAGCAAACATGATTCCTTTCATGACTTTGGTGAGAACAACGACTGTTAGCCTATGGAAGGAATCGCAGCTTCACCATATTAACTGACCAGCACAACCTACCATCTGTTATGCAGGTTGTCCTGACACTGACGTATACATCCAAACGGCCACTTCCATATCCAGTTCCATCACCTCCCCTGCTGACCAAAACATCAGAAGAACTGCCTCCTTGGGGGAACTGTTCTTGAATCAGCAGTTCGTGGGACTATTTCCATATTTCTGTTTGCACAAGATCGTCCGCGTGGGATTTGGATCGAATCTGCATTCGGAAGAAACGTCCTGGTAACACAAATTTTATACTGTATAATGGATATCTTACTATTGTATTAATTATCACCCATTAGTTGTTGTTAAATCTTTTTAATCGTTGATTTTATTGTATGAGTCAACCGAATTAAATGTTGATATGTAAATTCTACCCAAACCAATTGTTTTATATTTTTTTAAATGATATTTTCTCGAACCAGTTTGGAGTATTTGGGGATTTCCTTGAATGGATAGACCCCACAACATAATCAAATATGCCTTTTTCGAGCAGAAAAATTTGCTTATTTCCTCACTTCCTGTGAAACAAATCAATGTATTCTTGCAACCAGGGTTTTCACAAGAATGTGAAACACACTGTTATGAAGCCAGCATTGAACTAAAGGTCATCCTGATGGTCATTAACTTAGAATGGTTTTTAAAGCCAGATTCACGAACTTAAGAATCTGGTTCACTGTGGTTTTATTCAGTCACAGTGATTTATTGTGTAACCGAAAGTCCTGTTGATAGTTGAATAGTGTAGAGTTTAGTAGGGTTTAATGGTGTTGATAAAAATCAGTTTGTGATATATCAAGGATCAATACTGGCTTCTTATGATGTGCTGCATAAAATGGCTCTATATCACTTTTAAAAACTGTTCTTCTGTTGGTTTCATCATGTGTGTCATTACTAACGTCCATTGCAAATATATGCAAGGGGTGTATGTTCAGAAAAAGAACAAGAAATATTATCAACGGTTTACGTTGCACCCCGTGTTGGCAACTGGCAGTGTGGCATCTCCATGTGAGACTACGGCATGCACAATTATCGAACACTGGCTACAGTTTTTCACCACTGACTCTTTTGATCAAAATTCAAAGCTGTAGTCTCAGGAGACAGAACCGGATAATGGATACCCCTGTTATGTGCCACCCCATAATACCCTGTGTATTAATTAAACTGATACAGAGTGCTGGGTGAATGTATGTTAGCCATGCCTCAGCCCCGGGCCACAAGTGTAGGCAGCACTCTGGGCCAGGTAGTCATGTTTTCATTGGTTGCCATTCATATTTGCTCTATTC